ATTGAGGCTAAAACAGTGTGCACGGAAACGCGAGCATTGTGGCCAGCAACGTTATAAACGTTTAATAGCCTGGTCAATCCAGGTAATCCAGGTAATTTTCCGAGATCATCAAATAACTGAACATATCGACGCATCGTAAAAACTATTTCAGCTTCAATGAAAAATGTAAACATTGGGCAATCTTCATTACTTCCAAATTTCGAAAATGTTGATTGAAGAGAAATTCAGAGGGACTCAAAATGAAGGACAGTACCAATAAGTCCAAAACTCGTTGGGCCAGCTTTATGTCCGCTCCGTCCATGAAGGATGATAAAAAGATAAATTGCGATTGCAATCGTTACAAAAACGGTGGCGAGGGCACCTCCGATTGAAGCTGCAAAACAAAACGTTGCTCGTTAATACTTTCGTCGTTTCAATCTCACTTATCCTCCTTCAACCAAATAAACGCAATACAATGAAGAAGAACAATGTTTTACGAGAACAGCAAAAGGTAACGCGTAACAATTTTTGCTACTTCACTATCAAAGCTAGATTCGAGTATTTTTCACACTCCATAATTGAGTTGACTTGCAATATGCGATAGTTCGTTCAAGTTGAAGTTGATTATCTCATGAGAATAGGCGAGAAACACTTGAGAAATAAACGGAGGAATAAAATAAAGAACTGAGTGCGGAAGAGATAATTCACCAGGAACGACACCGACATAGAAACATTTCGGTTGAATTGGAGGATCACTGAAACTTGTGGCACAGCCGTCTGAATCGGAATATTCGAAGTCTGTAACATTATGCCTCGTTGTACCATCACGATTCGTCAATATATTGGTCAGACTGGGTGTCTCATTCCTTGACTGATTATGATCTGAAGCCGGATTTGACGACACCAAATTGCGCACATCATTCGCGGTTATAAACTCTGCAAACCATTTGTAGTTCTACAATACGCAGTTGATTTACTAAAAATTCTGACAAATTGTACTTGATTTGCATTTTCTGCTGAAATGAGTTCAACTCGTTGATAGGTGATCGCCCAGATAAGCTTGCTTGGCGCACTGAATTGCTTTTCTTAACACTTCTGGTCATATAAAAGATCCCTAAGTGAAAGCTCTTTCGGTCTCTTATCCAGATCTTGACATGAGCTTACGACGTTGTGGTTTTGAGTCAGGCTGACGGAATGATGAAAGTTGAGTTGGACGCTGCTCTGCGATTCCTCTCCCATTGATCCCCGAAACTGTTCTATCGTCTCCTTCATTCACACTCACAACTGTCACTCCAGACATAGCTTCCTACTCGCAGATGTTCAAGTCAATCTGTTCCTTCTGAAATATTTTTCTGTTCCTTTCAAACGTTTTTCAAAGGCTTTCACAAAACCATGATTTTCAATTAGACAAACAAGACATATTTTACATTAACAGAAGTTTACACAATTGAATTTTTCCCCATTTATAACATTTAGCCGGCAATGTTGGAAAATTTCGTTTCTTTTTATTCAACAGAATGGAATTCTTCGCTCAAGATCAGATGAATAATTCAATTTGTGTGTTCAATTTCTTGATTGCATCAAAGAACTGACAAATATCAAATTGAGTCAAGTTATTGTATANGCTTTTTGCACAATTAATTTCATGAACTTCAACAACGATTTTTGGGACGATAATCACTTAGCAAACTTGAATAAGCGTGAACGTAGAGGTAAATAAGCGAAGTGAACGTTCAGGAAAAAATTCTAATTGAACGCAATAAACTTATTTTTTTCTGCAACATGAAATTATTCCAATCAGGCAAATCAAAGCTTATACTGATTTGAATAGTTCACTGATTGGTTTCCTTAGTAACAAGAAATAAATAAACACGTGAAATTCATTAAATCGCCTTTGATAATAATCACTTCCACACAGTTGTCCATTACAAAAAACTACACGTTTGATGCAATTAGTGCATATTCGATGCATTTTACAATTGAATCATTCTTCTATATTATTTCCATCATCGAATCTCCAGCAGGATTCAATTTTCCAAGGGTTATGCTGCGCATTTTAGGGACATATTCACTGTGGGATACAAATTGATCAGATCGCATATAAATCAGTGATCAGATATTGCAATAAGCAGTTCGTTTGGCTACTAATCGTCAACTGTCAAATGACAGCCTCATCATTTACTTCCTGTTGGTTTCCGGTTTCACAAAATCTCACATCAATGCTATTGGCAGTTCTCATTGTAAATATCTGATGACTTGATCTAGTTCGATGAAATTGTTCTCTGCTCAAAACTTACCTGCTCACTCGTCAGCTCTCACAGTCAGGAAATATGACTCTTATACAGGCAGTGAATACGTTTTGTGTCAATAAATTCACTTGCGTTAGCGTATTGTTGTGAATTTTTTTTCGTTCATTGCAAAATATGACGAAAATCAAGAAGTGAACAATTTCCAGCTGATATTTTCGTTTGAAAAAAAGTTTTTTTCGAAAACAGAAACTTCGAAAACTTTGAAACAGGTGGACATCGCTTGTCGCATTTTTAGATGCTGATAAACAACAGATTATATTCGTTAAAGATTATATCCGTTCCACTTCATCAATTTATGAATTCACTGTTTACAAATATGCTTGTGCTCTACACTAGAAGTCAAAATAGTTCCCAACAATAGCCAATATCAGCCTTTCTAATGAATCACACCTCACCATTTATGAGGTGCATTTCAAGGGTCAACATCGGAATGCGCAACGGTTTGTTCTGCTTCTAGTGTTAAGACAAAATCAGCACTTCAAACGTTCTCAGTTTCAATGCCTTATATCATATGCACAGTTTAATTCGATCGAGCTTCCCTTACATTTTGCTACATATATATCGATGTTTGCATAAATAGATCAATACAGAAATTTAATTGTGCATTGACCAAATGCATCCTGTTCAAAGCGCTGAAGTCATAAATCGCTCGCACTCATTTAAATAA